TCATTCTCACAGATTAGTTTAAAAACACATACATTTAGGTCACGGGTGTTAAGTTGTGAAGCATTATAATTAGCAGCATTTAAAAATCTAAAATGTTCTGTTTAAAAAAAATAAATTATACATTTTTGGTTTGAAACAAGACTTGAGTCGTTACACTGAGAAGACTGAAGATGTTCAAAACTTTAAAAAAGTTTGAAACTGACCCAGACCAGTTCAAATGCCACGTCAGTAAACAGTCATTAGTTATTACTGTTCCAGGTGGAGACACGTTTAATTAGAGCCATTTTGTTAATGATAGAAAAGCACAGAGGACATTAAAAACTATAAAATCAAAGATTAGTCGATTGTTTTACGCCGAATGCTTTTTCTGATACAACTTGGCCTCGAACCTGCAACCTCACATAAACAATGCAGCACAGGGTGACGCCTGTCCAGTGTGGTAATAAAGTTATCTCCTATAAAAATAAAAATACATTCATATTCACCAGAACTGTCTTTAGTGCAAATAACATAAACAAGCGATATGTCATCATCCCCAGTCACTGAATACTTTGAATAGTGAATGTTTGTAGTTTTTGAGATGTGTGTTTTTATGGACTTAAACTGAACAGAGGGATGCAAGTAAAAGTAATGTTTACGGTACAATAGTTTCAAGTGGATGAGTTACACTGTGCAGAACAGAGGTAGATTTATTTATTTATTCATTTATGTATTTATTTATGTATGTATGTATTTATTTATTTATTCATTTATTTATTCTTGCCTGATACAGTGCAGAGAGATTGATCCTGGGGCATGGAGGGAGCAACTTTTATCCACCACCAGGTGCAGTTGAGGAGCTAGAGGGTGGCCAATGGGGGCCTTGGCCACCATAGATTGATCTTTGGCCTCCCAAAGACTTTGAGGAAACTAAACTTTTTAAGACATATACAAAAACTAAAAAGCATAGTTTCCTCAAAACGACGGGGGCGATCGGTGTAAAAATACTAGTGCACCTCAAAAAATGTGAATATTGTTTAAAAAGTTGAGTGTTTTTGTGAATCGTTTCAGAAAGTGAAACTCATATATTACATAGATTTATTATACTTGGAGTGAATGTAATTGTGATGATTATGGCTTGCAGATAATGAAAAAACAAAACTCAGCGTCTCAGAGAATTAGAATATTCCCGCCAGCTGTTGGTGACTTTGTCAGTGTGGGTCAGGAGCCGAGTCCTGCTGGAAAATGAAATCAGCGTCTTCATAAAGCTCGTCAGCAGAAGGAAGCGTGAAGTCTCCAAAATGTCCTGGTAGATGCTACGTGGACCTTGGACTTCAGAAACACAGTGGACCAGCACCAGTAGAGGACCTGGACTCAAACCATCCCTGATGTGGAAACTTCACTCTGGACTTCAACAACGTGGATTCTGGACCTCTCCACTCTTCCTCCAGACTCTGAGACCGTGATTTACAAATGACATGAACATTTACTTCCAGACCTCTGAGCAACAGTCCAGTTCTTTGTCTCATCAGCAGGTAAGACACTTATGATGTTGTCTCTGGTTCAAGAGTAGCTGGACTTCATGAATGTGACATTTGTAGCTCATGTCTAGGAGTTAATCTGATCAGTCTGACACCTCGTCACAATATTCTAATTTTCTGAGACACTGAAATTAGTTTTTTTTCATTATCTGTAAGCTATAATCTTAAAAAAACAGACGATTCTCAGTCAACCTCCAGGACATGGTCAATAATAGTTTAAAAAAAAAGGTTAAAATCAAAACAACTGGACTTCAGTTAGAAATAAAGTCCAGTTATTTTGTTTTTAACCATTTTTATATATATATAATCATCAAAAGTACAAGAAATAAAGCCTTGACATATTTTACTTTGTGTGATATGAATCTACATAACATATGAGTCACATTGTGAAGTTATTGACCAAAAAATTGACCTTTTTCTTGATATAATGTTTTCAGATGCACCTGTCCATGATGGTGGCCATCTAGGGTTTTGACATGGCAACACAATTTTTGTAAGTGACAATTCTTATGCCTAGATAGAGCCACACAGCAACACTCCACCTATTTGTCACGTTATCATGCTCACGGCATCCACGGACAGACGGATGAAGAGACGGAGTGTATTTCCATTTCCCCCTCTTTGCTCCATGATGTTGTTGAAATCAGGTCTCTCTTGTAAATGAGTCCTCGAGGCTCAATGGGATTTTCCTGTCTAAAGAAAGGTTGAATGATGGGGGACAATGACCATAAATGACAGGTTACTGAATAGGTGACTGATTTGTCCTTTACACAACAATGCTGGAAAAAAATTGGTTGATAATCTTGGTTCTGTTTAGTTCCATTCTTGGTTCTTGGTTCTATTTAGAACAAAACAGGATCAGTCATGTTACAAGACTGTTCTTCTTATTCATTTTAAACAACACTGAAAGTTTCAACCTCATATTAACAAGCTTGTTGTCCACGTTCAGTTGAGGTCAGTTAAAAATCTTACAAGATTAAAAGCACAACTTGGAGTCAGTTTGATGTTAACTTTGACTGAAACTCTTCCTGTGTCTCCTGTTGTTCATCTTCAGCTGGTCCAGAAAGCAGCAAACAAGCAAAGTTCTGTTATCACAAGTTCAGATTCATGACCTTTTTATTGCCTTTATTTATTTATTTTTTTAATCCATCTGTTTTCCCACCAGTTGGTCCTTGTAATCCTATAATCTAGATAATTCACTTGTTTCTCTCGTCAGTTGTGCTGCCTTGCTTTCTCTGGTTGCGCTTTTATCAAATATGTAATTTGTTTCAAACATTTTCCAAAGTGCTTTTACAATTTAGCTTTGTTACAAACGTTTTCTTACTTTGTTTAAAATCGAACATGTTCATTCAGTTGTCTTTCACTCCTGTGGTTATTTCTGTGGTGGAGCAGTTGGTAGAGCTGTTGCCTCTCAACGAGCAGGTTGTCGGTTCAAATCCCAGCAGGGGGCCTTTCTGGGTGGAGTTTGCATGTTCTCTTCATGCATGTGTGTGTTTTTTTTTTTTTCTGTATACTCTGATTTCCTCCCACAGATTAAAAAAACGTGCATTTTAGGTTGATTGGTAACTAAATGTCTCTAGGTGTGAGAAAGAGAGTGACTGGTTTTGTCTCCATTTGTCCCTGTGATGGACTGGAGATCTGTCCAGTGTGTCCCCACCTCTCATACATTGACTGCTGGATATGGACACCAGTGACCCCATGACCCAAAAAGGAAGAAGTGAGTAAAGATCATGGATAGATGGATATTTTTGTGATTTACTTTAGGCCTTAAAAATATGTTATAGGCCTATTTTATGTTTATAATCCATTGGATGTGAAATTCTTAGTGAAGCCATGTACGTGTTATCAATATGTTCCATTGATATGAATCAATTTTTACAGAAATCGTTACACAATAAGCAGAAAATATCACTTTTTTATTTTTACTTTATTTTCCATTAGTCACCGACATGACATAAATAGGACAAAGCGTTATTTTATAAATATCTACAGACACAACAATGTTCTTTTAACTCATCACATTATACAATTTGATTAAACACCTAATTATGCCATGAATATATTTCCTTTTAAGTTGAGCACGTTAGTTTTATCAGTAAAAATGTGAACAAAGCGGCAGCACGTACGTAGGAATGAATTGAACTTTTGTTTTAGTTTTTGCAAAATGAGTCACATTTTATTTTATTTTTATCCACCTACTGTTTAGGCATGCAAACAAACAAACAAACAAAAATACCACCAGTGATGAGAAAGCGTGCTCAAAGTTTTATAGCGTGTACAGAGTCACCATTTTCACAGTGTAGGTTGAGACGATGTTGTGAAGACGTTCAGACACCAAAGCCGGTTGGTTCGGTTAAACTTTGAGATTTACAAAATGATTCCAGCAGCATCTGCTGGGAAAATGTGTCTTAAACAGTGAATGGGTGAATAAAATGTCAAACTACTCAACAACAAAATAATGTGTGAACCCATATGTTGGTATGTTAGCATGCTGCCAAAATAACTATAAACCTAATGAATCAATTAAATGTTTAATGCACTGAGGTGACGCTCGTTGTGCAATGTGTATAATTCATAAATATCTTCCTTTAAACAAATGCATTTAATACTGATTGGTTTGTCCGATGTATCCAACATAAATTTAGTGTTTTCTCATCATTTAAAGGAAAGTTTAGTCGCTTAATTAAAGCCTTTGTAATAACATTCTCCATAAGTATTAAATAAATAGTATTCACAAACAAAACTGTAAGGGTCCAAATGAGCAGCAGCTGCAATTTTGATGTTAAAACTCCTGTTCATAAAGTTAATTTGATCACATGTTCAGCTTAAAAATAGACAATGAGAACGTATTGTGAAAATAATAAAATACATGTTATCTGAACTAACAAGATGTTAAAGCTTATGGTGTTTTATATTAAATGTTATAAATCTGGGATTATAAATGGCTCTGCCAACAAGAAGCCTTGTTGACTGATTGATTGTATACAGTTCAAATATGTTTTGTCCACTCTGCAGTTAAAAAGCACAAACTGCTCTTGTAAAATGAGCAACATAAGCCGGATCTTAGAAATTAAATCCAATTACCGTATTTTCCGTCATACACGTTGCACAATGGTAGCAGGCTATGGAGAGCCGACTGTGTCATTAATAGCCACGTTTACCTATTACATGATACAACAGCATGCCATAGAGCTCGATTGCCATCTAGTGGCTGAAAATGGTAGTGTTCAAAACTTTCAGTCAAAATGAATGAAAATAGTCATATCTCAGCCAAAAATTGGTTTATAAACACGGAAAAAAATCCATAAATAAGTCGCTCCTGCGTATAAGTCGCAGGGCATGCAAATTATGCAAAAAACTACGACTTATAGGGTGAAAAATACAGTATTTAACTTCTTGTTAGGCCTAGAATGTGCATCTGCAGTGTCCACATTTAGGGAATATATATATATGTATATATTTATACATATATATACATTTCTGTATGCGCAACAGTTTAGTTTTAAGTGAGTGGCAGAAAAATATATATTGAGCAGATTTATGCATCATAAGGATATTATTTTAAGTAGTGGTGGATAATGTGTTTGCCTGTTTTTCATGTCTTGTTTGCTTTTAATTGAAAGCATGTCCTCTATAGTATTTTTTATTTTAACATTGTCCCTGTAAAACAATTTGAAGTTGCCATTTTAAATAAGCAATGCATATAAAGTGTATTATTTCAGTGTTGGTGTAAGTTTATATCACTGTCTTTCTTGTTATGCTCCTATTTCTAGATTAGTTTTTTTTAGTTCGTTTTCCAAACTGACTGGAAAGTAAAATTTGAACTTTTGGGAGGACGGTTGAAAATATGGACCAAATGTCAACATTCACTTTGTCGTCAAACAAATAAAACTTTCACTTTCCTTTCCTCTTCTTACAGATGACTGAATCATTTTAAAGTAAAATGCTCCTAAGCGAGTTGGCTGGAGGTAGCTTTCGATGGTTTTTAGCGTCGCTGCAAACTGACCTCCACTTGGGGAGTGGGTTGTGTTTGGCAGGACATTGGAAGCGTATCTTTTCACAGCACTAATATTTATGAAATGCATCGAGATATGAAACATTCATTCTGTCCTCTTCAGTCTTTTTCAGTTTTAAAACTACAAGACAGTTGAACGTGGATGAAATGGGGAAAAAAAATGACATTTTTATGACTTAACAGTAAATAACAGCAAGTAGAAGAGGGGACAAGCTCATCCAAAATAAGTCACCATCAAACCCAACATCTTCTCTAACCTTTTGTCCTTCCTTCAGTAGTTCTCATTTACTTTTTCAATCTTTGGCTCCTGATTTCAATCTTGCCGCCGTTCTTCCTGTTTAGGCTCCTCCAGCCAGCACCTGCCTGTTGTCGGCCCAGTTGCAGCCCTTCTTCTCTGGAGCGCAGTTGGTCTGTTTCTGACACAGATCCTGAATCACTTTGGATTTCAGGAACCGCCTGTATGAGTCTTTCTCCATCAGAGTGTAAATCATCTTCTGAGCCTCGTCGAAACAAGACGAGCTGCCGTCCTCCACTTCCTGCCTTGTTTTGTCTCTGGTCGCTGCATCCAAGTTCACCTTGAATCGGGTGAAAAGAAAGAGAAACGTGACTTTTCAGTTGGATGCACAGCAAATAAAAACTGTTCGAGTGTGAACTTCACAACACTTCAAAAAGGACAACTACTATGTGTTTCTTCTACTGACAACAACAAAATCTAAATTGGCGAGAGGCATCGTTGGAGCCTTTAATAAAATAATAAATCTGATGAAAGCATAAAACACTACAGAGGAAGGACACTCAGCTGAAAGGAATACAAAATAAAAAAGATAGGAATAAAAAGGTGCGTTCATGAACTCGAGTATAATTCTGGATTTTAATCATACAGTTGATTTATTTAATTTTACTCTAGTTGTTTTGGTCGTTTCTTTTGAACGTTGGTCATGTTCACCTTAGTTCTGGTTCTGTTGTGCACTTTTTATTCAATTTTCATGTTAATGTCCAGTAATTCGTCATATTAAAAGCATAACAATCCACTAGCTGTCTTGCAGAATTCACTCCCACCGTCTGTTATCAGTTAAAAGTCTTTACCTCGTTTGGAGCATCTGCCTCGACGTATTGTTGGTAGATCTCCTTGGCTTTGGCTGCCATCTTGGATGGTGGAGTATTCTTATAAGCCTCACAGGCAATCCAGAAGTCCACGTTTTCCTGACTGAACTCTGACTTCAGGAAGGTGGTGAAGACTCTACGACCAACTAGAAGAGAAAGACAAATCGATTTGAACTCTACATTACAGACCTATGTTCTAATAATTTAATAGCATGCCCTGACGTCTGTTATGAGGTAAGTAAAAGAAACGATGGCTGGATCTGGAATCATCAAAGCAAACGTGACATTAAAACGAAGCATGGGGTCTTAAACATTTAGTCTCCAAGCTTAGTGTTATTGACTTGTTTTGATTTCATGTAGGTAAACAACACAAAAAGGTCAAATGTGCTGGCTAAAGCACCAACCGTTAGCTGTTGTTTTCCATTTCACCTGCTTTCAAACAATGGCTGGTGGACGGACGCTGACGTCTTTGAGCAGAGTTGTTTATTTTTCTTCTGGTATCTGTTAGCTACAGAGGTTATTATCAGACGGTAGCTGATGGATTTTTTTTAACTGATGGAAGAGCAAAGCAAATGGATCGGCGCCTCTACAGAAGTGTAATAAAACCGAAGCTGCAATGCTCCAAAGTCCAGCGTGACTACGATGACAGATTGTTGAAACCGTTCGGGTCGCAGTGCGGTAAACAAAATAAGACTGAACCAACGGAAGCTGAGAAGTAAAGGCAGAGAGAAGACGTGACGACGCCGGAGGTCAGTGGATAAGTTCATGGGACGCAGCGGGTCAGAACTCAGCTGGATTCCCGCAAGGCCATTGCTCCTCCGTTTTTATCCACACACTCAGTGAGATTCTCAGAGGACTTGCAGATATATGCACAAGCACACAGACACATTTAACTCTGCACCGGTCAGAACGCCCTGAGGGGCCTCTTCGCTGTGCCTTGTGACACGTAGCAAAAAAAAAAAACGGAGCATGAGAATGAGACGACGAGTGTCAGAGTGGGTTTGTGCTCAATTTGCATGTTTGTGTGCTGTGTTCGAGACTCCTTCACTTCCCTTTCATAGCAAAGCCCTTTTCTAAACTGAGTGATGCTACTTACTGACCAT